CCATTCATTGGTTTTGCGGAACTTAGCGAGGGTGGTTGGCAGGTTCGTGAACGGGGAAGGAGGATTCGTTTGTGTACAGTGAACAGTGGCTGGACAGAGCAGTTGGCGCAAAGGACGAACACCACAGGTTTCCGTTTCACTTGAATATGTGCTGTGCAGGCCTCTCGATAACCTCGGGGTCACCCTGCAGAATCCGAGTTTGCCCCGGATCCAGCTCGTCCAGGCTAGGTAGCAATAAAACTTTTTACTGTTTTTGAAAGCCAGAGTTTCGACGAGCTCGGAATGTGCCACTCCTGACAATGACAGGGGGATCCATTTTTTCTAGGGGTACGAGCTTTTACATTAGATTTACAGGGTTAGTCCATCCCCTATTCGAAAATCAACCGTGGGATATGTTGGCTTGCCTGTCCGTGGACGGGTATCGATATTCTGAATGCGTCAAAAGCAGGGCTAGGTCGAAATTTTACTCTTTTTTCCTTGACAAAGCAGTGTAATTGCCCCGACTTCCAGTGGCCTGGTTCTGTGCTGTCCTGCGAGTTGGGCTGATGTATGCCAGTGACATGAATCTCGACCTGCCCTCGCCTTTGTGCGCCAGACAAACGAGGCTGGTGGTGCTGACTCCAAATTGAAAACGGGGCCTAGGGCGTGTCCAGAGTGCAATTCCGACATCCGACAAACCTCCGTCGGACGTCGAGGCTGACATCCAACGACATCCGAGCCAGGGCTGACGTTTCAAAAAAACCCACTCTGATTTTCGCCCCAAAAAAATTTCCGAAGTCTGAATAGCCAGGTTTCAGTTTCCATGGTAGTCTGATTTCTCATGATCCAGTGACTCTCAAGTCTGATTTCTTCAGGGTTCGCAAGTATTAATAAGAGTCGTAATTTCACCATTTACTCGCCATTATTTTATAACATTCGGGCAGTTAACCAACACCTAGTCATATTTCCTAGCCTAGCTAGAACTGTGGCACATCCACAGCGACGACATCCTCCGCCTCATCATCCGACAGAAAGGGGTTGTCTTCTATAGCTACTGCACGTCCACCATCCCTCTCCCCCTCCTCCTCCTCCTCCTCCTCCTCCTCCTCCTCCTCCTCCTCATCCCAATCCTCTCCTAAGTATTCTGGCACTGGAGAATCCTGCTCTGCCTCTTCTAGCAGAGCCTTGCCTTTGCGCTTCCTCTCTTGTGATGCGAACACCACCGACTTCGCTGGTCTTCTCTCCTTTGCGTGCCACAGCTCCAACACCTCCTGCCAGTTGATGCCGTATCTCAGCAGCGAAATCATCATCAGCTCACCCAGGCGGGCATTGCACAGAGCACCACGGACCCAAGACTTGATCACGTTCTGCCTGGAAAAACCACACTCGCACTCCACAGTTGAGAATGGTAACACCGCGCATGCTTGCCAGAGAAGCATGAGGTTGGGCCAGCACCTGTTTATGGAACAACCACGCATAAGAGGCGTGGAACAATAGAATTAATTATAAACTACAAGCATGGTGGGCAAGCAACAATAGAAGTAGATACAAACATAGACAGGCATGGTGGTCAAACTGGCAAAAACAATCATACACAGGCAGACAGAGCAGCGTGCTTTGGAGGCTCGACTTACCTGCTTGACTCCGTGTTGCCAAGGTAGTTCGTCAGGCCCTGGTAGAAGCCCTCCTCGTTGTGGTGGTTCTGCATGATCGGGGCCCAAGTTGCCAGCTCCTTCTCTGCCTCCTTCAAAACGGACCCCGGGAGCCTAACGTCGAAGATAGCACTGCAGCCATGGAGATACTCCCTCGTCTTCTTCTCTCTCGCCATTCAAAGCCGCGGCCACTTGCCCGCCCGAAACAGCTTCGTCGGCCCGAGCTTCGACAGGTCGTCCAGCCGCTCCAGCATGTTCGTCATGCTCCCCCTCGCGAACTTTGCGCACAACAGTTCGCAGTCCCGGTAGTTTCTCTGGTAGACGTGCCCCTTGATCTGCCGCTCGTGCATCTGGTATGTGTGCGTCACCGGCTGCCCGTCCTTGTCGACGCCGCGCACCTTCACTCTCTTCGCCCCCCCTCGCCCGTACACGGTTAAGAAAGCCGACAGCCACGTGCCGCTTACACCCGCACCGAAAACCCCGCCGCACTCCAAGTAGCGGTGCTAAAGATCCCCCACCGCCTCGTCGACGTCCTATGTTATCTCGGTGACATCCACCTGCGGTCGGGCGGGGAGGGGGGGTGGGGTGGTGGAAATATGGGGGCGCAAATCAAGGGGCAGAATGTTAGTGGTGGTTGTGAAAGAACATACCACAAGCTCACATGCAAGGGCTCACCTCTCGCTTCTGAAACTTGAGGTTGAGCTCGTTCATGATGGCGAGGACGTCTGCCAGGAAGAAGAGACAAAACTGAAACTTGTATGAGATGACAACCTCGTACATCTCATGGTTATACTCATACAGTAAAACGATGGCAGCACCGAGGACCTTACAGAGGCGTCTGACGGCCTCGCCCCTGGACAGCCACCGAAACGCGTGGATTCCTTGAACTTCAAGGTTGGTCTTGTGGATGACACGCTGCAGGTACTTGAACCGCTGGCTCCACACGCTTGAACGGCCGAGGAGATTGGCAAGAGTTCGGATGACCTTGTCGACCATGTCCAAGTCTTGACCGGCAGACACGGCGTCCTTCACAGCCAGAGCTTCCCTGCGCACAATCCATAGAAACAAATTAGTAAACGATTAAAATCATAGCCAGAACATAACATAATGAGTCTATACCGGTGGGCGATGCAGTGGGACAACACAAGGTGAGGGATGTGCTCGCGGAGTCGCGCCACGAGACCGTTCTCGCGCCCAACCATGACGGAAGCGCCATCGGTGCTGATTCCCGCGATGCGGTTGAGTTCAATGCCGGCGCCTTGAAGATGAGTGTGGAGCACGGAGAGCAGGGAGGCGGCGTCGCACTTCTCGACGGTGAGCAACGAGAAAAATTTGGTGACGACGTGGCGATGGCGCAGGAAGGTAAGGTACATTATCAGGTGCTTCCCTCTGGTACGATCAGTGCTCTTGTCGCAACTGATGCCGATGAACGGGGACGATTGAATGTGCTGCATCTGGGTCCGTTGAAGAAGTGTCGCCAGGCAGTGGACCATCTGTTGAAAGCCGTACCTGCAAGTAGAAGAGAGAGTAATTGTTAAAATAATCCAACGGGGCAGAGTAATGGAATGTACTCGCGGGTACTTACCGAGTGAGGTAATCACCGTAAGACTGGAGCGGTAGGTCCGGGGTGTCCTGCTCAGCCATAAAGTGACATAGCCGAGGAAACATGCTGATGGGAGCATCGACCTTACAGAGATACTCAACAGCACGGAGCAGTTGCACGACCCGCCTCCCCTCGACATCCGACGACAAATAGTCGTCAATCCTCTTCTGCCCGTCGGCAATGTCGTCGACAATCTTCAGCTGGGCCTCAACAGCTTCCTTGTGTGCAGAGGAGTGTTCGTGTTTGCGCATGGTCTGTGTCTGCAGGTCTCGGCCACCATCGCCCGAAGAGCTGTACTTGGTGGTCTCCTTGCCAAACGTCATGCAGAAACTGCACTTGAGAGCAGGGTAACCGTCCTTTGTTTTGGTTAGCAGTAGCCATGGAAAGAAAGGCAGCCATGAAGTTTTGTACTTTGCTTCAGCGACGAGGTATTTTTGCTCAATCAATTCCTTCTTACTCAGCTTTGGCGGTGGCGGTTCAACGACGACAGGGACAGCACTAGGTGATGGCGGCGTGGACGGGCGGCGGAGCCTACCTTCGATCATGATTTGAGACTGGGTGTACTTGCCCGTCCGTTGTTTCTTCGCAGACGAAATCGTGGACGCGCAAGGCACACTGTAGCGGACTGTGGTGGTGGTGACGCTGTTAACGGGCAGAGTCGTGCCTCTGCTGGATGAGGCGACGGCAGGCGGAGGGACATATGGTGGTGGCACGAAGGGCGCGGACGGAGGTGGGTTTAGAGCAGGCTGGGTTTCCTCCACTGTGGAGGAAACCACAACAGCAACGACGGGAAGAAAACCTAGAGACCGCAGTATGTCTATCGCGGAGTGACGAACCTCTGCAGGCTCGTTACTGTGAGGTGGTTCATCGGCGCTGGGCTCATCGTCTTCTTCTGCAGGACTCCCCGTCATGGCTGTTGACGGGGTCGACAAACGAGAACCTACGTGAGGAGGACAACTCCGAAACACGAATTGAGGAGTAAGATTTACAGACCCAGTGTAAAAGCCTGAGTGCGCCTGAGAGGAGGGGGAGGGATGAGAGGGACGAAGAAGAAGGGCACCATCAAGCCCGAGGCGCGTGTTTCTTGGTTAACCCTCGTCGTCGGCTTCTGGATGGCAGCCCCTTCCAAACCCGCGCCGCCATGCCAAACATAAGCTGACGTTACGAACGAACCATGTGTTGGCATGGACTGTCGCCAATCACGGTCGGTCGGACAGTTTTGCACATGCCAGCGAGGGCAAGTTTCCCGCATTACCAGCCTTTGATGGCTTCCAACACACCCACGTAGAGGTCCTTAGCAGGCACGCCTGGCAGGATGCATGACGCGCTGAGTGGCTAAGTCCCTGTTGAGGCAGCATCACAGTCACAGAAGGGGCGGGAATTCTGCCAAGTGCAGATACTGCACGTGAGACGTGCGGGGGTGAAATGATGGAAGGCAGCATATGACGTAGTAGAGGAAATCTCGTGGAAAGTACAAGGTGCATGGATGTCACATTCAGAGTCCATACGCGATGTACTATGAAACCTCAGTATCCGCACAACGACTACTCTGAAAACTTCAGGATCCAAAATCGTACAACTCTGAAGGGTTCAGTATCCAAAAAAGCCTAAGTCTGAAAAATCAGGATTGGCAAAAAAATGGGTCTGAAATTTCAGACAATCATACTAAAATAGTCTGATAAAATCAGCCCTGATCCGACCCCGACATCCGTGGATGTCGAGACTGGGGTTTCAGTACTCTGGAGATCGTTCGACTGGGCAATTCTTTAGGAAGCGCATGGGCATGTGGGGCCTCAGAAGGTGCTCCGAGCTGGGATTGGTCGCCATGCGACCGGTGACGTCAGCCTGCGATTTCCGAACCGGGCCCAAAAATCGCAATGCTTTTCTCGGACCATTGCCTTCCATCGCTACAGTAAACCGCCCGCTGCTGCCCCTCAAATTGCCCCAATTCCCCAATGGCTCCTCAATACCACCAAGTTGGTGGTATGATGCCTTGCGGAAGGGAATGACGGAGCCACTCCCTCTTTTCTTGGGGGATGTTTTTATTGGTGAGAACCAGGCCCCTTGCTAACAGGGGTAATTACCCTTAATGTCGAGAAATTAAGAGTAACTTTCCAATTGATTCCGTTTTTTTTTTTTTGCAGTGCGATTTTTTTCCGAATCCGTCCAACTTACGGAAACAATTTCGCGCGATTCCTTAGCCTAACGAGTAACATTTTTTCGAATCCGTACGTGCTATACTTGTAGCAGGGCAATCTGTCGAGGGTGGCGACCGCCAAACCATCCCCCCTCCCCCCTCCCCCCTCTCCCCCCCTCCCCCGCGCCCAACCCCGCCTTTGATCACTTGCAAGCCGAATTTGTAGCGGCCGATTCCTTTCTGTAACGGGTTTTTTCTATGGGAGTTGCGAATACACTGTCATGCCGTTCGGGTTAACGAATGCCCCCTCAATGTTCCAGCTGATGATGAACGGGGTATTCCGATATCTACTCGATAAATGTGTGATCATTTATCGGGATGACATCCTGATATACAGCACAACACGGGAGCAGCACTTAAAGGACCTGGAAGCGATTTTTCAATGCCTGCAGCAAAATTATCTCATGACCAAAGGCTCGAAGTGCGAGTTTTAAAAACCCGAACTGGAGTTTTTGGGGCACGTTATTGCGACCGAAGGCGTGAAAATTGACCCCCACAAAATTCAGGCAATTCAGAAATGGAAGCCGCCGACAAACCTTCAGGAGTTGCAATCGTTTTTGGGGTTCGTCAATTATGTGCGCCGGTTAATCCCCAACATGGCGGGGTTAACTGGGGCACTAACTGACCTTCTTCATAAGGGTGCTGATTATCAGTGGGGAGAGAAGCAACTTTGCGTTTGACGGATTAAAAAATATTTTAATCTCGCCACCAGTATTTCGGATTGCTGACCCAGAACGACCATTCAAGGTTGTGACAGATGCAAGTGACATCGCCATCGGAGAATTTCTAGTACATGATTTTGGCGACGGCCTTCAGCCAATCGCGTATGAGTCGCGAAAGTTACAGTCGGCTGAGCAAAATTATCCCATACACGACAAAGAAATGTTGGCGATCGTGCACGTTTTCAAGATCTGGCGATGCTACCTGACGGGAGCCGACGTGACTGTACAAATATATCAAAAATCCTTACAGTACCTGCGCGCGCAGCCGAATCTCAACCCGCGGCAGATTCGCTGGTTGGATTATCTGGAATCAAACTTCACGTATCGAATCTTGTACAAGAAGGGTGCCAACAACATTGCTGACGCCCTCTCCAGACCATCTGCCCAAACCGCCGCTGTACTAATCGCCCAGACGAACTCGTTGTTGAGCGGACTATTTACCCATGGATATTCGACCATTCCCTTTTTCGTAAACAACGGCCACCTGCAGGTCACGACCGCGCAGGGAGCCTATTACGTAAAAGCGGGAACGGAATGAATTTGGGTTCCGAGTTATCGTCTACTTCGTAAATTACTAATTCAAGAAGTCCACGATTCGAACTTATCAGGACATTTCGGGGTTGACAAGACTCTGAAGGCAGTGCAACGGTTTTATTATTGGCCCGACATGATTTCGGATGTGCAAAAGTACGTGGGCGCGTGTCCGATCTCCCAGACAATGAAATCATCACGCCAGCGGTCAGCAGGACTGTTGCAGCCCCTCGAGCCACCCCAACGTTTTTGGCAACACGTGACAATAGATTTTGTCACCGGCTTGCCGGCCAGACCAAGTGGAAACGACGCGGTCCTTGTCGTCGTCGATCGCCTCACGAAAATGGCTCACTTTGCGCCATGTTGCCTGACGATCACAGCCAAAGAAACCTCGCGTCTGTTCATCTCGGTCGTCATTCGCCTGCATGGTATCTCGGTGGGAATCATCAGCGATAGTGATCCGAGATTCACCTCGTGCTTCTGGCAAGACACATGGAATCGATACGGCACCCGCCTACAGTTCTCATCCGCCTATCACCCGCAAACCGACGGTCAGACAGAACGGACAAATCAGACCATGGAACAGTTGATTCGCACGAACTGCCCGGATATCAGCAAATGGGAAGATTCACTACCCATGCTTGAGTTTTCCTACAACAATGCACCCTCTGCCACGACTAATCACTCGGCCTTTTCCCTGAATTATGGGATGGATCCGACAGTACCCATTTCCACCAACGTTGAAAGCCAAGTTGACTTCCTGATACGATGGACTCATCGTACCAGCGAGGACCATACGTGGATTCCCTCGGTACGTGTACAGTTACCTACTGTACTCTGTGATTATTTATCCTGCAAGCACGTCGCAGATATAGACCATCTTCGCTAGAGGGGGGGTAGTGTAAGGAATTTTCCATTCCTTAGCGCGCCACACCGCTACCTCGTACATCACCCCCATACGGCACCGACATCTGCCCTAGCTTCAGCCCGAACACACCACCAAACCATTTCCGCGTCACTCCGAAGCACTCCGCGTCCTCGAATGCCCTCTATGAACCTATTTGATTACGCGGCTAGGATTGCTCTGGTGTTCCTATATCCTGCCGCATCATTCCATTGTACCACATTCTGTTATTCTGAACCTCGACATTCGATTCTGCGCTACTCTGACATAACATGACGCACATTTCGTTACTGCGGAAATGTGCGTAACGGCTGCCAAATTCACAACATGAAACTGTTAAAACAACTACTTCTGAGTTGGTGAAAATGACCAACTAAGCATGTGCTGTAATTTTCACCTGTCATTGCTGACTTGGCTAAGCACAGCTTAGAGTAGTTATGTAAACGTACTTGTGCGAATGTTCTTTCCTTGTTCAATGGGGTAGTACTAGTGCTTGCCTTTTGTACCATATTCTGTATTCTTGATTCTAGTGAATTTGTGTACCCAAGCTTTCTCAAGCTATTCTGTGAAACACACAAGCCAAATTCACAAGCTAGAGTAGCTCTGTCTATGTCAGGCACTTCCGCATAAGCTCACGCTATAGCAGAAAAACTCTGCATGGTGCGGTGAGCGTGGAGCGAACACGCGAACGGTAGAGGTCGAGTCTGTCTCGTTAGGTCTTGCGGAAGGTCCAGTTGTCGACATGACGGATGCCGATTCTCACGTCCGCAAGAAGGTTGGCGATCTCGATGCGCAGGAGGCTGCCCTGATTCTAAGATTAAAAAGATGACTAGAATAATTGGGTACAAGGGAATATAACATAAGGTGTTGTACTCTATATGGGCATTCACCTACTATGTCTAGCCTATAACATATACAATAAATATGTTGACACACCCCCTAGGCTAGACAAGGGGCAGCAATTAGCACAAGACATGCAGCTCAGGGTGGCACTACTAGTCCAACCTCTAAGGCAATGGTCTTCCACTGTCCCACACTATCTCTCCACTCTCCCACACTATCTTTCCACTCTGCCACACTATCTCTCCACTCAGCCACACTATCTCTCCACTCTGCCACAATATCTCTCCACTCTGCCACATTATCTCTCCACTCTACCACACAATCTCTCCACTCTCCCACACAATCTCTCCACTCTCCCACACTCTCTCTCCACTCTCCCACACTATCTCTCCACTCTCCCATACTATCTCTCCACTTTGCCACACTTTCTCTCCACTCTCCCACACTATCTCTCCATTCTATGACACTATCTCTCCACTCTCCCACACTATCTCTCCACTCTCTCACACTATCTCTCCACTCTCCCACACTATCTCTCCACTCTCCCACACTATCTCTCCACTCTCCCACACTATCCCTCCACTCTCCCACATAATTTCTCCACTCTCCCACACTATCTCTCCACTCTCCGCAAGAGTACAAACTAAACAAGAGTAATCCAAGGTGGCACTACTAGTCCAGCCACTGGAGCAGGAGCCACAAGGCCAGTCAATGTAATATAAAATATAGTACACAATCAAGGTCCTAGCAAGTGAGAAGCTACACGAACTAGACCAAGCTGGACACAGTGCCGCTGATGATCTTTAGGCGCAAGCGCCTTCGTAAAGATACTGTACCAGCTATGTTGGCACCTGAGGCCAAGTGTACTACACGGGCCTGGCGGCACTGCTGTACCTCGCGCAGGAGGAAGTACCGCAGCTGAATGTGCTTCGCTCTGCCCTCCAGTCAAGGCTCCTGACCCAGGAAGATCATGGCTCTGTTGTCAGCATACAGGACCGGGGCACAGCTAGTCCGCTCACCTAAGTCTGTGAGAAAAAAAGTCAGCCAGCGGAGCTCCTGTGCCGCCATGGAACTGGCGTAGATCTCAGCCTCACAGCTAGACGGGCAACCGACGACGAGCGAGTGGACCTCCACGAGATGGCACCTGAACCAAGGCAAAAGCAGTAGCCCTGTGAGGATCTGAGCGTCTCAGCGTCGTCTGCCCAAGAAGCGTCCGTGTGCCCAGTAAGGACCACTGGCATGCGTCCTCCGAGCACTAGCCCCATGCCCGATGTACTCGCTAGATAACGCAATACCCTCTTAACGGCCGACCAGTTCTGTGGTCAATGTCTGCCAGTCGCCATAAAGTGAGCCGGGATGCTGAGAGGGTATGCGAGATCTGGACGAGTGCAATTCATCAGGTACATGAGGTAACCCACCAGCTCTACGTACGGACCACTAGGCTCTACTGATCCTCAGGGACTGGAGCTGAGAGCCAGTGATCTATCGGAAGAGGAGTGGGATGTGCAGAGGAGAACTCAAGGCCGAACCTCTGAAGGACCTGGCGCACCAAGTGTGACTGAGTGAGAGTGATGGTGCATGCTGCTCTGTCCATGGAGTTCTGCAGGCCAAGGTAGCGACACAGCTCTCCTACGTCAATGCAGGTGTGTCTCCTCAGCAGCTCGGCCTTCACAGAGGCCAGTGCGTCTCTGTCTGCAGTGACGAAGACTAGGTCGTCTACATAGACAAGGATGTAGAACGGTGTCTGGCCGGCACAAACAAAGAGCAGAAGGGTTTGTAGAGGACAGGAGACAAAGGAGGAGACACAAGAGGAGACACAGGAGGAGAACACGAGGGAAAACGATCCGGAGACGAGTCCGGCGGAGGAAACACAGGACCGTAGACAAGCATGGAAGGCCCAAGCGGGCGGTTGGGGAAGGGAAGACTGAGGAGGCGACGGGCAAACACCGGGGGTGACTGCAACTGCTGCTGCTCCACATCGACACCAGAACCTCCAGTGGCACCACGGCTAACTCCGGGACGCTCCATGACAGCATCCCTAGAACGAGAACCCTCTCCAGCACCATTGCCACCCCCAGGACTGCTGGGACAAGCCACGACAGTACCCTCTGGACTAGCACCCCCAGAGCCAGCACCCCCAGAATGAGAAACCTCTCCAGCACCGGTGCCATCCGCAGGATCGCCGGGACAAGCCACGACAGTAACCCCAGGACTAGCACCCTCCTCAATGCCCGCACCCCGAGAGCTTGCGGACCCCAACAGCGGCAGCTGCAAATGTGGCGGCGACGACGGCGACTACTGCTTTGGCGGTGGCAGCGACGGCGGCTTCTATGGCAGCTGGAGAGGAGGAGACACCGGGGCAGAGACAGGCGGCGGGACCAAAGCCGTGGGAACCCCGTAGTCAGCCGACTCCTCCACCGGGACAACCGACGGGAGGGGAGTGACGTGAGACACACCAGACGGGGCAAGACGCGGAGGGAGAGGAGCAGGAGCTACCGGGGGAGTGGGAACCAGAAACAGGGGCGGGGAAACCGGGAGACCTTGGTGGGGAAAGCGGTGGTAGAAGGAGACAGACTCCTCAAAAGTGACATCACGAGAGTGAAAGAAATGGTGAGAAGGCGGGTGGTAAAAGTGCCAGTCAGACGCGTCAAGGGGGAAACCAAGGAAGACACAAGGGACGGTGCGAGCAGTGAGCTTGTCCGTGGCAGAGAGACGAACGTGAGCAAGGTAGCCCTAGACGTGGAACGCACACGCGTCAAAAGGGAACCAGGTCCAGAGATGGGTCGGCGAAACCTGCGGCCACTAGGAGTGTGGCCACAGGTTAAGCTGGTGAGCGGCTTAGCGAACAGCGAACGACCACAGATAATGGGGTGCACCGGCATGGATCATGGAGGTACGAGCCACCTCCATGACCAAACCGATGTGGCACTCAGCGACCCCATTCTGCTGCGGGGAGTCCGGCAGGGTGTACGACTGGGTGATGCCCTCCGCACGACAGAACTGGCCAAGCCGACCGGAGGCAAACTCGCTGCCACGGTCGGAGTGAAGACGCAGCACAGAGAGGACGCAGGGGACTCGCACAGCTACGACCCACGGGATAAGAACGTCGGGCACGTCGGCCTTCCGCTCCAGGGGAAACACCATGATGTAGCGCATGTAGTCGTCGACAAGCACGAGATGGTAGCGCTCTCGACGCGGCCCAGGGACAGGGTTGGGCCCCAAACGTCCAGCTGCAGGGTCAGGAGTGGCGCAGTTGTAGGGGGGAGCGAGGAGGAGTGAGGAGCACGGCGGAGCCAGCCCTCGATGCAGGGCGTGCACGGCGGTGCAGGCGAGGGAGGGAGGGCAGAGAGTGACGCAGGGAGACCAAAGACAAGCCCGTGAATCTGGCAGCACCTCCTCCCACATGGTGCCTACGGAAATCTTCCTGCAGAATCTGCTGCCTTAGCCACTCAGGTGTCCACTGGTCTTGCTTAGAGTTGAGGGTGGGGATGAGGTTGTCCCAAGTGTTGTCAAGATCCGAGATGATCTTTGTGCCCTGCTGCAGCTGAGGAACGCTGCTGCCCGCTGCTTCCATCCTCGCATATGTGTCCTTGATCTTGTCAAGGACCGGCTTCACATCGTCCCCCGGCCGCATGGAGAGAGCAGCAAGTTCTTTCTCGAGCACGATCACCATGAGGAGAGTTTTGGGCTGAATCACATTGCGTAGTAGTTTCCATGCCCTTGGACCCGAATGATCCACTTCCTCAAGATCCTTGATGTGCTCGAATATCTCCTTGTTGACCGATTGAAGGATGAGGTCGAAAAGCACCGCGCTTTTCTCTATCCACCGTTCGCATACTTCGTCTTCCTCCGGCATCTTCTCCTCCCAAACAGCAATCTTCAGTAGCTTGTAGCATTATAAGGCACTCCTCATCCGCCCGCTCCATTCCTCATGGTTGGAGCCATCCAAAAGCTTCAACTTTGGATGGTGGTGGCTCACTTGTTTTCTCGGGTACGGCTCCTCTTTTATTAGCATCTCCTCCTGTCTCATTCATCTTCTCCTTGAGAAATGTCGAATTTCAGCTCCCCTTTACTGTCCACCTCAGCTCCCTCGATTTTTCACAAGTGTCGGTGTCCACAAAATTTCGGCAGAGTTTCTCCTTAGCGGAAGTCACATCCAACCTTTAGAACACCACTTAGGCACACCCACACATCATGGTGAGTCTAGTTTGGTATTCACACTTCTGTAGATTCCTCTTAATGTCCTCAATATGGCTCTGATACCACTTGTTAGGATTAAGGACGGAGTCTATGTGAACTTAGGAGCTAGAATTACTCAAAATATAAATCCGAAATTCTAGACAGAAATGTCGTCTCCACAAGAAACGACGTCGGCGTAAAAATAGCCATTGAAATATCGTAAAACTCTATTTGTTGTAGCTCTGAATCTCCGCTACCGTTCCCAATTTGAATCACGTTGATTGATGGAGTATTCGCGACGTTAGGCCTTTCGACGCACTGGGGGGTATGTGTAGGAGAAGAACTTAACTCAATCTCAAAAGTTCAATCAAGGTTCAATCATCTCACGAGGAATTAGAGGAGCAAGAATGAGGTTGGAAGGGAAGAGAGGGATGAGAGGGAAGGTCTTCAAGGTGAAGCGCCCTCCTGGAGAGCCGCCTGTGTTCAAGGCGCGCTACGTGGCTCGAGGCTTCAGTCAGCGCAAGGGGGTGGACTT